ATGTGATGACATGTAGTTGTCATTAATTTGTTATGTTTAATTGTTATAAAATTTTCATAACAAAATACAAAATTTGAAGTGACAAACATTTTTTGTCGTCACAACAATATTTAGTAGTGATCATTTTATATATCGTCACTAGTATATTATCTCTTGCCAAAAATCAATTGGCGTCACTTTGTGTATTTTATTAGTGACAAATCTTTAATAACAAAATATTTTGTCACAATAATACTCTTATAGTGATGATTTAATTGTGAAAAAACTTAAATCGTCACAATTACTAGTGTTACAAATATAATGAATACTTATGCAACAACTTTTTTGTTGTTGTATAAAATATTTAAAAATATAAATTAAGCAAGGACATTGAAAAATCATTGTAAATAAAATAAATTTTTGCAACAATAATATTTTATTGTTGCAAATATGATAGATACTTGTATAACAATTTTTTTGTCATTGTGTAAAATAATAAAAAAAATAAGTTAAGTAATAACATTTAAAAATCATTGTAAATAAAATAAGTTTTTGCAGTAACATTTTGTTATAGTTATGAATAATAGATGAATGGATAAAATTTATTGTTGTCTAAAATTTTAAAAATTCAATTTAGCAATGATTATAAAATGTTTTTATAAATATATTCATATATTGCAACGATATTTTCAATTGTTGCAAAATAAGATTGCTAAATATCACTTTTCATGTGATGTCAAAATAATTAATATGATTAGCTTAAGTATCTTTTCATTTTTTTTATAATTTAAAAATACTGCATAAAAAATTAAAAGATTTCAACTTACCGTTTCTAAAATCTTATATAACTTTTATGATTTTTTACTTTTATACTTAAAATATTAAATATAATAAGATAATATGTTAACAATGTAAAAAAATAATTTTAATTTTCTAAAGAATGTTGCTAGTGATTATAAGTAAAAATCAAAGACCAATTGCTTAATATATATATATATATATATTACCATACGTATAATTATAAGTTTTAGGTGTTATATATTGCATCTAAATTTTTTATTATTAATAGATTTGATATATTTTAAGAAAAAATTATTATAGCAAAATATTATTTCAGCTCCCTAAAGCCTAAACGTCAAAGATTCGTCACTAATCATTCGCTTGACATTTTTGGTCCTCGGAGAAAGGAAGAATGAAAGAAAAATAAAGGACGTGGAGAATTTTTTTAAAGTTTTCATCTCTTCTAAATTTAAAATTCTAAATCAGTGTTTTTATTTTTTAATATTGTCATTAATTAATTAATTGTTTTATTATTAAAAAGGAATATTTTCTATAATATTCTATTTCTATTAAATTTTATCCAAAAATAATTCAAAATTAATTTGTTCAACCGAATTGAGGTTGAGTGACAAATTTTAATATTGAGTTAGAGTATAAATGAGAAATTTCTCTTCAAACCAAATATATTTTAAAAGACTGAAATTTGCAGCCCATACAAGCAGTGGGCAGGATAGAAAATCAACTAAATCAGATCGAAAACAAGAGTTGATCAGAAGCCCAATGACATGAAAAAAAAAAAAAAAAAAAAACTGGAAGAGAGAAAAGGAAGTATTCACTTTTTCTTTCTTCATAATAAGAAATCATAACAAAGATTATTGTTTTAGAAGTATTCATTGAGACAGTTGGAATCAAGCACCATTGACATTGTGTAAAATTTGCTTGATTTTAACTTAAAAAGAAATCGACTTTCTTTATTTGATCATAAAAAAATAAAGCACAGGTACAATGAACACGAAAAGTGGACTGGAGAGGCCACAGATTTTGATTATAGTGGTTACACAAATGTAGTTTATCTCATCATTTTTGGCCACGTAAACAGATAATGTCCAATCCAGCCGACCAGACATTTAGCTATTTGCCCAGAAACCCAGCATCCACCACTATGTCATGCCCACTGACAAGCTCGTAATCTTGGGATGCTAGAAACAAGACAGCATCGGCTAGATGCTTCTCTTTGAGAACCTTCCACGACTCAAAAGTCTGCTCAGCTTCCTGTGCTTCCATTCCCATCAGGAAGCTTACTAATGGGGTTGCCAGTGCCACCACGTATGGCGACACGCTGTTTACCCTAATCCCATGCACCCCAAGCTGACAGCTTGCTGACCTTACCAATCCCAACACCGCATGCTTTGATATGTAGTAATCAGTAATGTCGTCGCCACCAATACTGGCAGCTACACTAGCTGTGCAGATGATACTCCTTCTCACACGCTGCTCAACCACGGCACGAGCTGCGTGTCCAAGGACATGGTGGTCAAAAGCTGCAAGGTCCAGATCAAGAACGGTTGATTGGAGGTGCATTTCTTGGAACGAATTATCCCAGCCTTGCTAAACATGATGTCAAGCTGCCCAAAATTTTGGACCGTCCATTCCACTGTAGGTTTGACTTGCTCTTCATCAGTAACATCACAGTGGATGTAGCTGCACTTTTAGGAACCGATTGAAGCGGCTAGTTGCCGGCCGAGTTCATCTTGGATGTCAGCGATCACCACGACAAGGGCACCTTGATCAACAAAAAGACAGGCTGTGGCTTTACCGATACCGCTTGCTTCACCAGTGATGATGGCTACTTTGCCTTCTAGCTTGTTATTAGACATTGTGGGAATTACTCTTTGATTCGCAACACAATGGCAAATAAAGCAGCGGTGAGCAGTAGTACCGTATATAAAGGCTAAGATTTAAATTACGATTACAGTCATATTTTTAATCGTATTGTATTTATTGTATTTTTAGATATAACAAAAATTATTGTGATTATCAAAATCATTACGATCTAAATTTTTTTTAATTTTGTATAATTTATTATAAAATATAATAATTATAATTATAATTATAAAAATTTTTATTTAATGATTTTTAAAATAGTTTATGATACTATATTTTTTATTTTTTTAAAAAACTATTCATAGTTTTAGTTAGATTATAATAAATAAAATATTCAATAATTACACAAAAATGAAAATAAATTAATAAGAATTAATTTAATAGTAAAAGAATTGACAACAATATAAATACCAAAACAACAAAAAAATTATTAAATTTCAAATATAAAATTATAAATTAATAAATAACAAAATCAAAATATAATATTTAATTTTAATTATTTTTCATTTAACTTATACAAAAAAACTTATTAAAATTTTTCATATAAAATCTTATATATATCATATTAAATTATTAATCTCTTAATTTTTTCAATTATAAAATCTCAATCCCTTTAACTAAATTTTATCTAAAAAAATTTTTAAAATTACAAAATTTTAAATTTATATTTTAATAAAATTTATTATAAAATTAAATAAAAACCACTCATTCTTACCGCCCCCAACGCACCCCACTCCCCGATTATCTTTCAAACAGTTCCTAAATTTTTCGCAAAATTTTTTTTGTTTATCTTCAACATTTTTCATGACATCGTTTCTTGAAATCAACTTTCTCTCTCTCTCTCACATATCATCGTCTCTCTCACTCATATTCTTACAAATACAAAAATTAACATTATTTTATAAAAATTTTATAAAAAAATAGGTAATTTAATTTTTTCTTATCTTATTTGATTTTGATTGTTAATTGAGGATTTGATATTGATTTAAATTTGAGTAACTGCCATTGAATGGTTGATAATTGATACTATTTTTTAAAGATTTTTAGATGAATTTTGAAACTAAGAATATGAGAATGAGATTAATTGACTGAGTTATGTTTTCTTTTGACTTTTGTTTTTATTTTTACTTTTACTATCTTAGTTATTTTATTCTGATTTTTGAGAATCTTGACAAATTAGGTTGAAACTTGAAAGTTTTTTTTTTTTAATTTGTATTTATGAAAAAATGGGAGAGTGCTATTCTCCGTTATACCATTTTTCAACGACCGATTACAAGTGATTAAATTTTTCAACTGTATTTTTCTTGATAGCAATGGTGAATAGTAATGCTACCATAATTTCATGATTGTTATTTTGATATAGTACTGCTATTTGAATCCCTAATAAAGGCAAAGAGCTCAAAACAGATTTGAATGTGATCTCTTTTCCTTAAAATAAAAAAGTTTTAATTTGATTGGTAGCCTTGCTAAGTGGTTGCTGAGAATCGAGAACAAAATTAGAAAAATGGTATTCATGGTTGCTAAGAACATAATCAGAAAGAAAGATGCCAAACAATTAAAAATAATAATAATAATAATAATAATAATTTATATTAAAAGCTATCCCCAATATATATTGAGGGGATAACTAAGCAATGTGATAAAAAATAATTTAGGGATAATTTTGAGAAGTTTTCTTCTATAGAAGCTTCTCCCAGCTTCTCATTGTCGCTTTCTTTTCCATTCTTCTCTACGGCGCTGCTTCCACTTTTGGTAATTGCTTTTTTTTTTTCTTTTCTTTTTTTAAGCATTTAATTAAAGAATTCTTTTGGGCTTTCTTGGTGAGGTTTCCATGGGTGGTCATACCAGTGTAGCAGGTCCCGCAGACCTCCATGTTCCCTTAAGTCCCTGGTGGCATGCACTTGCACATCAAACAGCAAGTCCCAAACGCCCTGTTGCATCTGTTTGGCCTTGAGTGCAGACTGCAGCCCCACCACCACCCAAATTACAAGATGCAATTAACAAAAATTTTAGTAATACTAACATTTGGTTTCCCAGGTTGCTGCATGGCATTAATTCTTGGATTTTGAATATCTAAAACAGTTTTTTGGAGCATGGGCTTTGACATTTCATGAATGAAAAATATCAGAATGAGAATAAGAAGCAAAATTAGTCAGTCAGAAGATCTGAGAAATTAAATTTAAACCTACCGATCTCTTGCATTAGTCTTCTGTTTCCACCTCTGACAAGTAAGGAAACCTCCTGAAGAGTACAATGCATAGCTCATTGAGACATTTAGAAATTTTAGAAGTATTAATCGATTAAAATACAAGAAAAAAAATACACTTGGAAATTTATTATACATTGCTGTAGTTTAATATTTTATTATACATTAATAAAAAGTATTAATACTTTTATTGCCGCGTCCAACCGTATCTTTATCCTATTATTACATGTCTGACGCCGGGTTACCTAGGGCCTCCCCAACTAAACTAGACACCAAGTGGCTAGCGTTATCTCAGCCAGGCCTGAGCCCGCTACGCTGAAACATTTGATGTTTATTTGCCAAGAAACCCAGCATCCACCACCAAGTCATGCCCAGTAACAAGCTCAGAATCCTTAGACGCTAGAAATACCACAGCATCAGCAACATGCTTCACTTTCAGCACCCTCCCTTTCAAGATAGTGTTGGTCTCAAACACCTTCTCAGCTTCCTCTGCCTCCTTTCCCCATTTACGACACAAAGCCGGCGTCGCCACCGCATAAGGTGACACACTGTTCACCCTAATCCCATGCACCCCAAGCTGCTTGCTTGCTGATCTTACCAAACCAAGCACTGCATGCTTTGACATGTAATAATCAATGTCGTTTTTGCCACCACAGCTCGCACACGTGCTCGCGGTGCACACGATGCTCCCTCTCAGCCCCCTCTCCACCATGGCACGAGCCGCATGTTTGACGCACGCAGCCATACCACGCACGTTGACAGAAAAAAGGCGGTCGAAAGCTGTAAGATCAAGGTCAAGGATGGTTTGAGTTGAGCTGCTAATTATCCCAACATTGCTGAACATGATGTCAAGCTGCCCATATTTTTGGATCGTCCAATGAACTAAATTTTTTACTTGTTCTTCATCTGTAACATCACAGTGCATGTAGGCGCACTTGTGGGAACCAATTGATGTGGCTACTTTTTGACCTAGTTCATCTTGGATGTCAGCAATCACGATAATACGAGCACCGTGAACAGCGAAATGATGGGCGGTGGCTTCGCCAATGCCGCTTGCTCCGCCAGTGATTACGGCCACTTTGTCTTCTAGTTTGTTGGACATCGTGGAATCTGTTGTGGACGAGATAAAAAATGAAAGGCACAGGTTTAATGAAAATAGACTCGTTTTTATAGGAAAAAAATTGTAATTATTGATTAATGTACTCTCGCTGCTTTATGATTGTAAACAGTACATTTAATAGTAATAAATATTCTTGATAAGTCGTTTTTATTTTATAAGGGTGGGTCATACCTCGGTTTCATTAATTCGAATATAAAAATTAAATTCTTCAACTTGTTGACCTAACAAACAAGTAAATCTTAAGAAAATTCGACCCCACCCTCCTCCCTCTCTTTGCCCTCTTGAAATAAAAAAAGAATATAAAAATTAAAAAATCTATTTAACCGATTTAATTTATACACCAACTAACCCACCTGAACAAAAAATTAAAAATCAACATGAACGGAATCGACTTAAATCTATTGGTTTAGTCGGTTTTTTTTCTTTTTCCTTCATTTACAAAGCAAATTGCAGAAAAGCTTTTCTTTGTGAAAAACTCTGCACCATCCATAACATCATTAAACAAAAAACAGAATAGCAAAACCACCATGCTTTCATCTCCGGAAACATGAGTATCCTATTCAGCAACTAACATCAATGGCAAAAGTATCAGAAGACTTGGAAGTGACAATGCCTAAAATACACTAAACAAATCACGTATCTAAAATAATCAGCAAGAGATTAAAAATAAATAAACAAATAACTTCTACATATAAGTTAAAAAAGAAAATACAACTAAAAATATTCAAAGTTTTATCTTTTTTCCTAAGATATACTTAAAATTTCACATGTACGAAAATAAATTTTGACTTTTAGCTTAAAAAAAATGAGTTGCTACCAAGAAGAAACAAAAGCATAATCAAACAAAGGATTAGGCATTTTCTAGGAACAAATCAACAGGAAAAAAAAAAAAGGGAAAATCTTAACAGTTTTGGGGTTAGTGAAGTATTGGAAGAAGAAAGTACATAACCTGGAAATTATAAGGAAAAAGGTTCAAGTGTATTGGAGCTTGACTCTCGAGATAGTGAGAGAAAATGAAAGAGAAAAGAAGCTTGAGCTGCAGCCAGAGTCGAGAGAGGCATGAGGGAAAAGAGAGGAAATAACCGGAATAGACCTTTTAGAGTTTAGGATTTCATAAATGGGTAGCAGGTAAGGAATTGATATTTTTATTGAATATATAATTATTAAGTCAATTTTTCCGATCGGTTCAAAATCCAAAAGCGAACAGAACTATTAGTCGAGCGATAAAGAATTCAATTATTTTTAAGTAAAATTTCGATTTTAAATGTTATGAATAAAAAAAATAAATTTAAAAAAATTTATTTTCTTATACAGTTTAATTCAATTCAATTTTAAATTGATTGAGATCTAAAATAATTATTAGATATCAAAAAATTTCAGATAAAAAAATCCAAAATCAAAAATTGATTGATTAAATCGTCCCTAAACCAATTAAATTGATTAAATAAAAAAATTAAACTAATTTAATTGAATTATCAATTTTAAATTGATTTGATCAATTTAAACTGATTAATGTTCTCCCCTAAGCACCTATTAATTATCTAAATTCTATTATTATAATTTATTGATATATTATAAATATATAAATTTTATATATAATTAATAAATAATATTTCATAAAAAATTAATTTTAAAATTTTAAAATAATTTTAAAAATATATAATATTATTTTTTATGAAATTTAATGACAATAAATCAAATATGAATTCTATTATCATATGCAGCTAATCAAGACAATTGTTTTTCTTCCACCAAATTTTTTCTTTTTTTCAGTTTTGGATATTCAGATTACGTTTCTCAGTTATTTATCTAATAATTATATTGTATGTAGGATAGAATTAGCTTTAATCCCATACACAGACGATGTTTTTGTTAATCAATTTTATATTCTTAATTGTTATTGTTAAAGAAATCTATAAATTGGATCAAGAAATTTAGCCATTAAATTTGAATTAGACCCAACCCAATTTAAAATAATTAATAATTAATTGGATTAAAATTGATTAATTAATTATTAATTAGTCAATTAAGATTAATGGATCACGACAATAGGCCCAAACCATTACAGGTCCAACAAGTCTATGTGATTATGTAAAAAAGAGTCCATTACTGCATGGACCAACTCCAATACAAAAGAACCTGAAGAGTCCAAGTCAGAGTCGGTTAACAGGTGAATATGGCTACCCTGCCTTCAAGCTTTTTGTTGCACGGTTTGGGATCTGCCATTAGGCTCAAAATTCTACCTGCCAATCAGCCTTACAAGTTTACGTTATGAACCAAGAAAATGGTCAGCATACTATCGATACAATGTTGGCCAGTTGCTGGCAAATAGCAAAACGCATGCATTATATAACTCATCCTTGTATCAGTGAACATAAGTGAACATGGATTCAAAAGAAAATAAAAATATACAAATCATCTAAAGTTTCTTTTGCACCTATATCTCTAGTTTTTTCATCACTGCAATTTTAAGTCTATGTCACAAGCCTGTGCAAGACAACATGCTCATCCATCAATTGCTAGACAATATATAATATACAGGCCCCATAGAGTGGGACAAAATCGCATAAACACTTGGAAAAAAATGAGGGGTAACAAGGCATGCTGAGCAGATCTTATGTGCAATAGCCATGTTACTCAATATTGTCCATGTCCATTCAACAATAATCTGAATGAGACTTGTAGAAATCACTTGTGCGAGGTGGAATGACCTCTTGTTCCAGCAACTGCAGTACCTGGCTCATTGTTGGTCGTTCATCTGGATTTGCATTCGTACACTTTGCTGCCATTTCAAGAATTGCTTCTACAGCTTCCATGTCAGCATCAGTACACCTCTTATCAACTACATCTTCCAATCCGTTCTCTCTCAATAGAGTGTTCATCTGCACATGTTTGAGCATAACACAAATCATTTCTAGCATATTCTCAGACAAAGGGAAATTATTAGTTTTCCACCAAACTCAAACAATTCCTTTATCTTAAAAAACATCAATTATAGCAGAAAATGTTTGAGGAGCTTACCCAGCCAACAACATTTAAGCCCCTCTTTACAAAAGTTGGATCAGTTGGCCTCTTTCCAGTTACAAGCTCCAGCAAGAGAACTCCAAAGCTATAGACATCTGACTTTTCCGTGGCTCTACCACTTTGCAGATATTCTGTTCCATAGTTATAAGTAATACTAAGTCAATAATTTCTATTTGCTGGAAATAACAATGTTGATGATGATCAAAATGTTTGAACTAAAATAACACCATACCAATGTCTGGAGTAATAAATCTCAAATTGCAATTGTACACCTACACAAAAATTGGTTAAACTTTTGAGGCTTAGACATGGGTTTCACATAATTTTAAACATGCTAAGAGGCACCAGTTATGTGCAAGAGGCAGTTTAACTCTGACAGGAAAGGTAGTAACTCTCATTTTCATGTCTATAATATACTGAGCATCTATACTATGGTGCATTGATCTGCTAATCACCGAAAACTCTTTTCCCACTTCAGCGAGGAAAATCAGGTAGATGGTACAACAACAATCATTAAATTAATTGTAATTCAGATAATGGCATCATGCAGAAACCTGAAACATGTATGATCTAATGTATCCTGATCCTTATTGTATCCCCACTACTCGACTCTCTAGAACTAAGAAAAACAAATGCATTAATGACCTCAATATAGTATTATAGATCCTTTAGTGAAATTTTTCTGGAACAACAAAAATAAAGGCAGTTGAAACATTATAGATGGTAGTTCCTATCAGAGCAAGATATACCAGGAGCCAAATAGCCAAAAGTGCCAGCAACCACAGTAGTGACATGTGCATCCTCATCCACCAAAAGTTTGGCAAGACCGAAGTCAGATACATGGGGCTCCAAGTTTTCATCAAGAAGAATATTGCCAGATTTGATGTCTCGATGAACTATCTTTGGACAACAATCATGGTGCAAGTATGCTAGTCCTCGGGCAGAACCAAGGGCTATTTTTAAACGAGCACACCAGTTCAATGGCCTTACTTCCTTGCATTCTAAAAATGTAAATGACATACAAGAGAACACAAGTAAAACTAAGAATTTCATTATAATATTAATGAATGCATAAGATCTATTCGGGTGCATTCCAGAAGTTTTGATTCACCATACATGACGAGATGGGATGGGTGAATTAAATGAATGGCTGACAGATAGTATATCATACAAAACAAATTCACAAATTAGAAATATGGTTAAACATGGCACCCATCCCCCCGGATTGCATTAATAAACTGGGAATATGGTCAAGTTTAGAGAAAAGTCCCCAACTAATGCAAATTATGAAAAAACAGTGATTTGATAACTGTTGCACATGTTGCTTGCGGTTTAGGTAAAAATTAAATAATTTTATAGATCATGACAAACTATGAGAATGCTGCCTCAAACTTTTCATGCCCATGCAATTCTCCATGATACGCCATGTAGTATGAACCAATTTATTAAACAATGCTAAAGCATACCATGCAGAAAGTCATCCAAGCTGCCCATAGCAAGATAATCATAGATAAGAAGTTTTGATGCTGGAAGCCTGCAGTAACCTCGCAGGTTTACTAAATTAATGTGTTTGATGCTGCCCAAGATCTCCAGCTCTCTCTCAAAGACTTGATCAGATCCTTCACAACTCCGGTCTATTCTTTTAACAGCAAATGTTCCACAATCATTCATGACCATTCTATATACTATTCCAAATCCCCCTGACCCTACGACATCCTCTTCATCAAGGGACTCCAGCTTTTCTATAATCTCACATGATGGATATGGCAGATCCCCATGAAAAGTGATAAGTTTTGTGCCTACAAAAATAAGTTAGAAGCAACTGTTTGACACGAAAAAGGTTCGTTTTTCAGGTAAGAGGCAGAGGCTTTGGAGGACAAGGAATTTTCTATAAATGCCAAATTTTGATTAAATAAACCAGCTTACTCATATCTTGGTGGACTTGCTTTTTGACTTCTGTGTATCTCTTAGCAGCCCTTTCCTTCTTTGATGGTAGACATATCCAGAGAAATGCAAGAAGCACAACAAGCACAAGGGCCATTGTGGACATTGCACCAATCAGCACACCTTTTATGTAATGAGATGATCGCTTTTTTGGGACTGCAGAAATCAAAAAGGATAATGCCATATTATTACATGCATAAAACTTTTAAGAAACATAGCAATTATAGCCTCACATAACAACAAAACTTGCCCACTGCTTCATCGCTTTCAGCATGAGGTAGGACTGCAGGAAATCCCAGTGAGGTCTGACAAGGCTTGTGAACTTGTTGGCCACATAGATCCAAATTACCAATAAACCTGATCATAATGGAGGCGACATTCAGAACAAGCTAATATTGATGAGGGAGCAGATTAGTTACTGCTTACAATTTCATTGATGTGAAAAGATTCTGGATTATTTCCAGCATCTTTTGGCTCCCATGTGTAGGCACCAAGATTAGATGTTTGGTAGAACCTAGATTCAAGACATCCTATCCACTGACCGGATGAGTAATTTCTTATTTAATTAAATGATTTAATTAAATGACCATTTCAAATTTATCAAACACAGACACCCAAATAGCTTTTATCCTGCAAGAGAGTAAAAGTCCTTAACAATGTATCAAAATTTTAGCAGAAGGCTCTATAGGTTTTGTTCAAGTAAAACTGCCAGGGGATGACACATGCCCACAACAGAAAACATGAAGGTAAGTACACTCAACAATATTTCCAGTTGGACTGCAAAACAATTTCATCTGATTCATTTTAAAGCCAGTACTATATATCAATATCCTTCAAACAATCTGGTTGCTTTTATGATTAGAAAAAGGCAGGTAAAACACTTGCAGTAAACATTCAAAAGAAAAATAAAATATGCAGCTTATGACAAAGGTTGGCGTCAGGTCGGGTTCGGGGTAGGTTTTGCTCGCTCCGAACGCGACCCAATTTTTGCTTTAATAAATTCGAATCTGATCCTACTCGAAATTTTTTTTGTTTTTTCATATCCGAATCCGACCCGATATTATATAAATCGTATCCGATCCGAAATTAATAAAATATTTTTTTAAATATAAAATATTATTTTTAAAATATAAATATTTAAAAATATTATTATATAAATATATATATATAAATAAAAAATTAAAAAATTAATTAAAAAATAATTTTTTATATAATATCGGGTCGGGTCGGTTTGCCTAAAACCCGAACCCGATCCGACCCCGATTGTTTCCTAAACTCGACCCGACCAAAAATTATAAATTTAAAAAAAAAAATCAATCTCATAAGGCCGGGTCGGATCGGAACCTGTCGGGGACGGGTTAGATTGCCGTCTCTACTTATCACTAATATGTTGATCCACATATTATGAGAAGCCTAGACATAATAGTTGGTCATTGTGATGAGAACGGTACTCACGACTTGTTCCCAAAAGTGCTCAGGACTCCAACATCTGGGATTTCACCAGAGAAAAAGTTGGTGGACAAATTGCTGCCACAAATAGCAACCATAAGAGGGTTAAGAAACCTCATTTTCTTGTTTGTTTTCAATTAAACAACAAAAATTAATATTGGCAAGCAACAATGTTTCGTTAACTTACAGGTAATGCAATCTTGTAAGGCCGCCTAAAGATGAAGGTATAGCACCCTTTAGCAAATTGCTGGATAAATCCCTAAATATAATTTTCCAGCAGGCAATCATGAGTATTAGCCCACAATAACTACACTAAATTGCTAAGTAATTTTACTTATCAGTAAAAGTAAATAATTGATGGGTACTTTTGCTTTTTGCTATTTATTCTTTGTTTTCGGTTCTTTTTTTTTTTTTTTGCTTTTCACTTTCTATTGGAAAAAGCAAACAACAAATTACAAAAGCATCAACCAATCGACCCTTCAATTCACATTTATGCCTTATAACTAAGGAAACAGTAGCATATTCAGGGATCTTACAGAATAGTGAGAAAAGAAAGGTTTCCAATATTTGATGGTATGCCTCCTTGTAGATAATTAGCTCTCAAGTAACTGTGCAAACAGTCAATTGCAACATGTAAGTGCATCTAATTTAATGCCCCAGATAGAGGGGAAAAGGTGAAAATGAGAGAAGAAATAAGACAACTTTCAAAACAAGAGAAAAAAGTGAAAAACTTTTTTTGCTTACAGGGCTCTCAACCAAGTACAATTGGTGATTTCACTAGGAATTAGTCCATGTAAGCTGTTCTGGTGCAGTGCCCTGTATTACCCACAAAAAAGAATGGGAAAAAAGAAAAAGAAACAAGAATCACAATCAGCCCACCGTTTCTTACTTTACTTTTCTTTGTGTTGAAAAATGGGAATTGAACTCACAGTCTTTGCAATCCTTTGAGTTTGCCAATGCTGGGAGATATTGTCCCTCCTAATTGCATGTATGGTAGGTTGCTGTAGAACCAACCCATATGAAAAATATCAGCACTAATACTGGAAAGAACTAAGCAAAATAGGCAAAGTAAAGCAGTAAATGATCAAAGAAACAAAGGGTAAAATTTACATTGAATGGACTCTTTGATCATTCGGATAACAAGAAATGCCAGTCCAACTGCAGGGTGACTCATCAGTAGCTAGCCAGTTTCCAAGAAAGTTTTTACGGTCATTCAATGTGCTTTTGATCTCCAACAATGTTAGACCTTAAAAAATCAATATCAAATCAGATCAAAGAAACCAGAAGTTCAACCTCACTTCATTTCTAAGCGTTTCAACAAAAAAAAAAAATCAAAACTCAAGCTTGAAATCTATGGAATGGGAAAGTTTCTAGGCAAAATGCAGGTACTAAGTTGATGCAGTTTATATTAAAAAGAAAAATAAAAACATCAAGCTTTCCCATCACCAGCAGCCAACAGAAAAAGAAAGGCACTTTCATTTGAAAAAAAAAAAAAGTGATGGGTTTTGAGTTGTTACCATCCTCAGTGAGAGCAAAAAAGCCGGAGCTCCAAAGGGCAGCTGCAAAAATCACATAGAATAGCCAAACCAAAGCCCTCATTTTCCAACTTACCTTCCAGCTCAAGCTTCTGGGAAGTGTTACCACAGAGAAAAAGAGAGAAGATACGAATCTTTTTTTGTAATAAAAATGAAAGTGATGATATTCAAGAACTACAATGATTAAACTAATAATTATCTGAAGCACGACAGAGAGGTAAAGAGGGGGAGAGAGATGTTTAACACAAATTAAAGGCACCCTTTTTTGAAAGTTTCATGGAAAGTTGTGCAGAAAGAAGTAGCCGTTGTCCTACTAAAAATTCAAACAGGTTCATAAAACATCAACTCTCACGAGTACTCAACAACTATTTAGACTCGCTACAAGGTGAAACAAGCCGGCAATTTTTTAGGGTATATTTTCCTTTTAGTGGCAAAAAAGGCTGAAACTTATGCATGTGTCAAAGGTTAAGTGGAGAGTAGAGTGAGTGACTAGATAGACAGAAAAGTGGTGCTTTTGAAGGAAACTTTGAGTTTAGAAAGCCTGAGACTGCGTTGAAACCTGTCTGACAGAGTTCCAAGAATGCACAGAGATGTGTTACATTATCATTACGTAGGTTTGTTTAAATTTGGGTGATCTTATACAGTCAGATTTGAGATCTGTTGCCAGACCATTAGTATATTGTAGAAATTACTACAAATACTTTACTATTGTTGTAAGTAATGTGGCAGAAAAAAAATAGTTAAAAGAGTTAATATTTGATGTCTCAATTAAAGAAATTATCTTTAAAAATAAATATTAATAAGTTTAATTAATTATTAAAAATAATGCAACATTATATTTATATATTTTTTGGTAGAAAGAAATGAAGGATAGAATAAAAGAGAAAAAAAAAGAAAAGAAAATGTCAACTAGGGCTTCACTTAGTGACAAAAATGGGATCTTAAAACGCTGAGGTCATAAAATCAAATCTTATTTTGTGGTGGATTGATTTAATTTTATATTGATTTATCTAATATATTTTAATTTGTTGTTTGATTTATTTATTTGATTATTTAATAATTTATATATATAAATATAATATTTAATTATAATTATAACTTATATTTTATAATTTTATAAAAAATTGATTTAATGGTTGACTTATATAATAACGTATATTATTTTATAACTCAATCATTAAATTAATTTCTTTTATTTTTTATCAAGCAAGCCAGAATTTAGAGTTTAGTTAGAAGAAGAAAAAATGTGATTTGAATGGGAGACATTTTATCTAAACAAATGTAGTTATGAAGTGTTAAGTTAAATGTCTCAGCCATGGAAATTACTAACAATTTTCTATTTACAAAGAGAAATGTTTAAGACTTAAGAATGTCAGGCACAGCTTTAATTTTAAAAAAAAAAGTTAGACATAGTTAAACCTATTTAAAGGTCGAGTTATCCATTTAAATTAAAAAATCATTTAAATTTTAGATTGGCTTTTAGACATAAAACTTAAAGTTTGAGATCAACTCAATTTGAATAACATAAATATAATTCAATTATTATAATTATATATTTATATTTTAATATTTTATTTTTTTATTATATAAATTAAATTTAATGAATAAATTTATATTTTATTTTTTTAATATGGGTCACGCTCAAGAAAAATTTTAGGCTTGAAATATATAGTTAAGTTGAGCCTAGACAAATATACAAATTATTAATATCAAATATAAACCTAGTCCGAATCTAATTTGATCCATAAATACCTCTAAGGCATGATTAAAATATACTTTTTATTGAAAGAATTTTTTAATTAATATATTATTTTGCTTCAATTTAATAACGAATGTGTATATTGAATGGTCTGTGACTTTATGATATTTGAAATTATTTAAATTTAAATCTTATAAAATAATTTTTTGGCCACGAAAGCAGCATTAAAAAATTAAAACATAGTGCGGTTCATCATAACCCAATTAGTTCCAACTATGCGGCACATCGTAGTCCAATTAGTTTCAATTATGCGGTACATCATAATCCCATTAGTTTCAGCTAATGCAATAGGGGACAAATTCCGGAGCTAACACTAAGAATTTCAAAATAAAATGCATTTGAGATAGCATCATAGTTGTTGACATCGCTTCCTCGCCTGGCTAATGCATTAGCGCAACGGTTTCTTTTACGAAAAATATGCTTCATCGTATTTGTTAGAATCTCCTCAACGGAATCCTGTAGTCACAAATAAGGTTGTTAAGCAAATGGTTTAGGGTTAAAGTATTGTCGATCAAGTTAATCAACAATGTGGCATCAACTTCATCTCCAACTTTTTAGCACCATATTGCAAAACAAGGTTTAACCCATCACAAAGTGCCCATAATTCAGCTTCTAGTCGTCCAGATTTCTCATAACATAAAGATTAACTAAGGGACAACGTGACTGTCGAGTCAACATTTTTCAGTTGCATTTGCTTTGAGTCATAATTCCCAGTTTGGAGCACAGTAAGGGCAATATTGGTATGGTGGTTTCAATCTAGTATTTAACAAACAGATGTGGTAAAGTTTCTTCGCATGTATTGCAAAATGGGCAGACATTTTGCAAATCATCTCTTCTAAAAATTTAATACTTTATCAATAAATCATGTAATTATTGACATATATGATACAAATACATTAAATAATATTTAGTTTTTTGGTATGTTTTATGCTTGTCCACAAGCAATTTTTCTTCATTATAGCAAAAGCTACCCTATCCCATCTGGCCTTAAATTTTGGAAACTACATCTTATGCTGGTTTAGTGAATAGTGATAGTAAGGTGCATAAAAGTTGACAAAAAATTATTTGAATTGAGACCCAAAAAAAAAAAAAGGCATAACTAATATTTTGACAAGCTTCACAACATATACCTAACGACACCAAAGCAAAATCCCCAACTCAGAAATCAAGGCAGGCTTTATGTATTTGGAAGTTTGTAATTCAAGGAGCCAACCTTTAGACGGCATAAATAATAATTTTAAATAAGATATAATGATATAATATAAAAATAATATAATTTAAAATTTTATAAAAGAATGTATGAGTTTGATAAAAATTAAAATTTTGTGTTTTTATGTATTGATATAAATATACAAATAATTTTTATATTTTATATGTGTCTAATATAAAATAAATGAAATAAAATATTTTATTTTAAATACTCTTTTTTAATCATAAAAGTACATTTGAAAAGTTTTTGAATTGAAAAAGAAAAAATATTTTTTTTGGTTGTTTATCATTGTGTTTGAGTCAAAAGCAATTTTTGAACGGAAAAATTACTTTCAACAATAATGCTAAATAAAACCTAATTAATTAAAAGTTGATTAATCTAATATATGATAATTAATGCATATTTAATGTTTTATTTTGATAATTAAATATATTTATATTGTGTTGAATGATTCATTACTATTTAAATACAACACGAGTAATTAAATGTATCAAGATCTTAAATAAAAACATGTATATTTATTATACATGTTAAATATAATATGATATAATTAACATATTTAAAATTAATAAATCTTTTTAACTGTTATAGTACACAATACGATTAGATACAATTAAAATAATTATCATGATTATTAACTTATTTATAACATATTTAAATTAAAATTTAATTTAATTAATAATATAATTTTAACATAAATAAAATTTTATATAATTCAAATTATGGAATTTAAATAGTAAAATAGATCAAATATTGATTAAAACAATTTTATAATAAAAAAAAACAAAATATTTAAATTCTTTGATTTTTCATAACCATTTGGTTTCCTTTGAGTTATTATAACTTACAAATTAGATCGAAATCTACAGGTATAAATTTTTTTTTTCCAAAATGATGCCTACACATCATATTTCAAAACCAAAATTTCGATCAAGAAAAAAGATGGTATGAATATCATTTTTCGGTGATTAAATTTTACAAAAACATCACTGATAACCTAGAATCTTTTATTTTTTCTCTCTGAATTTTTATAATTAATTGGATTATTTTGAAGTCTGAATTCTTTTAACATATAAAGAATCTATTTAAAACACTCATCGGAAAGGGCACATTTGATGCCACATAAAATCATCCAAAGATTGGCAAAAAACATTATCCGAAGATGAATTTTCAACTACCCAAAGTTATATTATCAAAAATGTCAAAACCCAATTTGTCAGAATATTCAAAATTTGATTTCTCTCAAAATATCAATCCAAATGAGCTGTCGCAAGAACCATTAGAAAGATTTTATTGAGACTTTTTCTAGTTGTACCTATATAATCACCGGAATGATGCTAAGAATTTTAAAAGTTTAAAATTAAATTTACAATTTTATAAAAATTATTGAAAGATACAAACTTTCAAGAATTTGGCTTAATCTTACCGTAAACCTTGAATTACAGCCTTAAAATCTATAAGTAGCAGGCTCCCTGGGCTGCAGGCTGCTGCTATTTTTTTTTTAATCTAGGGTTGGAGAGAGAATGAATTTATGCTAGAGGTAAAATATCCATATTTGCATTATGATCCTCTGCGAGTTTTATTGTTAATTCAGTCCTTCCGGAAATATAATCCAAACCTGAACTTATGCAGTTTAGTCAGTTTAGTCTCTTTTATAATAGAACATGTCATCTACAATAATTATATTATAATTAATTAATTAGAATTTAAAATTATGTAAAATCCATCAAAATATTATAAAAAATCTACACTTATAAGTGATGGACTCTTATATAATGAAAGTGTATCATTTATATAATTCTTAATTGTAATTAACCAATTATAAGATTATAATAAAAAAATTATAAGTGAAATGATCACCTTTTATAATATTATCCAATAATTAACAAATACATCACTCTTTAAAATTCTTAGTGATATAACATGGTACAATAATAAAAATTTGGGGTGAGACTGCAACTTGTTGTGATCCAAAAAAAAAAAAAAATTTTATTTGCAATAATGATTTTTTTCTTTTTGGGGTAAGATTGAAACAATGATTTACTGCTTACTTTCTCATTTACTACTCTTTTAATTCGAAAATTAACTACAATCGGAATCAATTATATATATATATATAT